GCACCGGCCGATCCGACTGCCGACTCTCAATGAACCAATTACAATGAGGCGCTGACTCGCCGCCTCACTATGATTGGTCCATTGAGAGTCGGCAGTCGTAGTCGGCAGTCGGGTCGGCCTGTGCAGTCGGTAATCTGATACGGGCTTTAGGCCTGACTATGAATAAGGGCATAAGTTTGTCAAAATATCGGGTCTAAAAGTGCGATCCACTAGACGCCGCAAATGCTATGAAGCATCTAATGGATCGCATCTTTAAACCTATTTTCACAAAATTAGTTCCAAAGTCTCCGCTACGAGCCGCTACTGTCAATAACGACCAATCGAGGTAGTGAATTTAAGATTGTGATAAAACAATTGAGTAGTAAAATATTTAAGTTTCGAATCATTTAAATTTGAGTGTAACTTTTCATTCACGCAGGTGCAACTTGACAAAGTTAACAAATACTTTTTCATTCAATGAATCCTAATTTATATTTAAGGAAATTAATTTAAAGAAAGAAATAAATCATATATTCGAATATATTTATACAAATTAGAGATTGTAAGGTGTAAAATACATCTTGAATTATCTGTTATTTTTACTAAAGTTAGAACTGTTGAATTTCGCTTGATTATTATTAATGAACCTTCAACTTCATGTGTATTTAAATTATAATTGCTGAAAAATGTGATTTTTTTCACATTTTGTTTTTAGAAAAAGTATCACTTATCAGGAAATTTCATATAACTTTAACTAAATAATGCTTAACAAATGACATTCATGTTTTATTATAGACATTAGTATTTTATTAAACAAAAGCAGTAATCTTTCCAGAAAAGGCGAATATATTAAACATAATTTATATTTTTACTATAAAGATGTATGTGCTAAAAATTATATGTAATAGTGATTCTAAACATTTATACATGTAACAATTTGTTTAGTAATATCCTAAGATGCATGTTATTATCAACAGAGATTTATGCTACAATTCTAAACAAAATCGTAAGTCTCATAACATTTCCATGTATAAAATCTGTAAGAACTTATTAATCTACAATTCTATATGTACTATACGTTGTACAATCACTTGTAAATATCGTAAATTATATGAAATCGTAAATATTTGCGAATGATCGTACGACATATATTACATATAGAATTGTAGATCTATTCATAAGTTCTTGCGAATTTTATGAGCAAGTTACAAATCTTATGATTCTGTTTAAAATTGCAGCATTAATATCAATATCTGGTTCTCTGACACAGAAAAATTCTCTGTAATATAATCCATATATATCACAACTTGATATCTTATAACATGCAAAAAATTTATATCAATCATTTTAACCACATTATTTCTCTATATTGAATGAATCCTATTGATGATTTCTCAATTTCACACATTATATTCAGAAATCTTACCTATACTATCAAAAATTATATTGACAAAAGTGGAATAAAGCTTATCTAAGCTATATATAATTAAGTTTGAAAAGATTTTTACAAACAAGAATTTTGTACCAATTCTAAAAAATTATTCTTCAAAATATGTAGTAGTAGTTTAGAATTCACTGAAAACTTACTGAATTTTTTTATCTTTATATAATAACATTGTTGTAATAAATTTATTTTGAAGTGTGCAAATCATATTAAATTTCTTGTTGTACACAGTATTATCTAACAATATATAAATCTCTCGTGTTATGTATAGACTAGGTCAAATTAGGAAAAATCTTCTATCATATTGCAAACAACCACGTAAAATTTTGAGTTATTAATTAAAGAAAACTACCGAAAGATCCAGACAGCACACATGTCCAAAACCGGAACATAAGATATCTAGACATAAGATGTCTTTAAGTTGTCTTAAAGATATCTTAAAGACATCTTATGTCCCATGTTTTGGACATTGGACTGCCTAGGGAATCATTCAGCAATCTTCTTTAATTAATAACTAAAGTTTACGTGGTTGCGAGATTTATATATTATATCATCAGACACCTCCTGTATAATAATTTTATTATATATTATATAATTTTTTATTGTATTTGTGTATTATATTAAATTTTCTTTTGATTGTATAAAATTAATAAAAGGTGTATTTGAATATAATTTAACACCAAAATCACAACTAAAATTCAACATAGAGATGAGGAAAGAAATTAAAAAAATGACTAGCTGAATGGAGATTAAAATTATCCAAATATATCTTTGTTAAATTGTTCCCTTTCCTGCTGAATTATATACATAATCATAAGTTTATAAATGTTTAAAAGCCATCGAATACGCACATATTAATTGGCTGAAATGTATGCCAATAACACTTTTCAGGTGTAAAATACGAATCACTGAGATTATATATAGTTTCTCACAATAATTAGTTTATATTGTAGTTATCTGTGTGGTTGTGTACTTACAAGTACTAGGCTCTTATTTCACTCATTATAAATCATTGAGTATCTAGAATAACTGGTACCTTAATGGCATTTCATAGTACCAAAATTTTGTATGTGGCGCTTAATAAAAATTATACATACTGCATTGTTGGTTTTACAAATCACTAAGCGATTTTTGAAACCAATACATAAATATGATTCATTTATAAGCGAGAGTTATGCGAACAAAAAAATTTCTCCGCTTATATTTTCTATAGTCCAACAACTAAAATTTTAAATTTTGCCATATTGTACTTAGTCATTCGTTATGCAATCTATAATTTACACATGGAATAAATAACGGAAACATATGCAATAGATACATGTTCTTTTCGAGAGAACATTGTGTGGACTTTGATAAATATACGAATTTACTTTGGGTGTACACACAAAAATGTGATATACATAATTTCACCTTGTGTCAGGCATTCTTGTTACACCCGAAAACGATTATATATATATATATGTGTGTGTGTAAATATACATCTATCTACAACAGACTTCTATTTAGTTACGTGTTTTGTCTATCAGGCTTGCATCTCCTGTAGTCTTCTACACGAAGGTGTTTCAAGATTTTTAGCTTTCATAAATAGATCTTGGTCTCCAAAATTACGGGCCTTCCACATCATGCTTTCCTCTATACATGTCAACATAAAAATTAATTAAAAAATTTTTCCGATATTCTAACAAGAATTATGTAACTCTCTCTCTTTTTCTTTCTATTATAAAGACTATCATAGTAGAAAATACGTTGAAGAACACAAGAAATTAATTCAATATACGTACTGTAATTTCTCTCTCTAGAACAAGTTTGTTTCAGACTAAGCTTAAATTCCTCTTCAATTGAAATTTCTAATCTACGTAGACTGCCTTGATATTCACTATGAAAGTTTTCTTTAACATAATAGGGTATTTTCAATCCTTGGGTTGTTCTGGATACGGAATATTTCCTGTGAATGGGAAAGATATCAATATGTATTTTAATTACATATCTTATGAGAATAAAGTTTTATTTTGTAAAATAAGAATTACCCCGATTCGGTATCATTAACTATACTTACGAATTCGAATGCAGACTATAAACTGGATCAGATATGAAAAAACTACTCATCATAGTTAACATTATTAGTAACAGAACTGGCAACATCTGAAGAAATGTGGTATATCCATTATTTGGCTGTAAAACGATTCATTTCATTTATAAAATATTTTTTAAAGAATTGGAAATTTAATTTTTTTCCTGTTACACTTTACCTGGGAATGAGCATGTTGTGCCTGTGCCTCCTGCTGCCTCATCCATCTTCCTGCACGACGCATATAAAATTCTTGTTGTGGGAAACCAACACCAAAGAACATGTTGAACAATTCCTCAGCTGTAATATCAGCTGCAACAAAAAACATTTCAATGTATAGGCACAAGAAAAAATTCTCTCATAATACACAATTTTTTTTCTTTTTTAATACCTTCAAATCCTCGAGTGTAATTATAATGCGAATGCCCTTGGCGAGTTTGCGCATTCTGCATTCGTTCTTCCTCAGGACCATACATATCATACTGTTTCCGTTTCTCAGGATCGGTAAGGATAGCAACTGCATTTCCGATTGCTGTAAATTATCTTTATTTAAGGACTGCTATAAATGTAGTAATTCTTAATATTATTTTTTACAAATACATTGACTTACCCTTGAAGGCTTCAGCAGCACCTGGTGCTTTATTTTTGTCAGGATGTAATTGCAGCGCTAATTTTTTATATGCCTTTTTAACATCACTGTCAGTAGCTTCTTTAGAGACTCCTAAGATCTCATAATAATCCTTGCATTTCTTTATCCTGCAACAAACATTCTTGTTTTTTGTTTTGAATAAACATTAAAAAATAATTTTATACAAATTATAAAAACAGATATAACAAACAGATATATCCATCTCATAAATATCATGAACTATTCAAACTATTAAAATAATCCTAAAATAACTACCTTTTCACCTGTTCCAATTGTTCTTTTGTATATTCACTTCCAGTCTGAGGATATGTTCCATCTTTAGGTACATTTTGACGTTTTCTAATAGTAGGTTCAGCAGGTTCAGGCTTTTGATTTTGCTTTGAAAGTGTTGATGCTTCTGCTAACAAGTCTACAAACATAATTAATTTATGTTAACAATGATCTTTCTATTTGCAATAATAAGATTTATATATATATATATATATATATATATATATATATATATATATATATATA